TATGATGACAAATTATATAAAAGTTCCAAATTATAAATAAATTATAAGTATTTTTTTCCGCATTTCATTGCAAAAAGATTGAAGATAATTTTAAATTAGAGAATAATAATAATAATAATAATAATAATAATAATAATAATAATAATAATAATAATCATGATGATGGTGTTACAGCACCTAAGTCAAAAATATATTTTAGTTCAATATAATCAATACTATTACTCAGCTGTTAAGATACTCAGCTGCATTTGTAAGTCAATAATATTCTTAATTAAATATTTCCATGTTACAAAATCAAGATTGAAGCACATGTGCATATATGTATTTTTTAAATGGTTAGACTGTCGTAATTGGACCCCTTATTATTTTAGTTTCGTAAGTGGAGCATGTCGCAAATTAGTTTTATAATTGAAAAATTTTCGTTGTTTTAGTCCTTCGGCGTCGGAGACGTTCGCGTGACTTGCTGGAAGCACATGTCCGCGTGAATTTTATTTTTTTTTTCATTTTTTTAAAAAAAATTAATTTTTTTTATAATTGGACCAAACAAAAAAATTAAATTAAAAATAAATTTTTTTAAAAAATTAAAAAATTAAAATAAAAAATAAAATCCACGTATCTGCCAGGTGTCGCTGACTTGGCGGACACGTGGTCTCCGGCGAGTCACGTGGACGTCTCCGACGCCGGAGGACTAAAACAGCAAAAAAATTTCACTTGAGAGTAGTTTGTGATAGGCTCTCCACTTACGGGACTAAAATGATAAGGGAGTACAGTTAGACTAAAAAAAAACATTTTACCCTTTATAAATTTATGCTTCTATTAATTTTTGGTAAAGTATAAGGTGTGTTTTTTCTCAATTTAGATTGGGTTTGGAAGTTTAAGTCTATTAATTTGAATAATATTTAGAGTAAATTGCATAATATTCCCTTATATTTTAGTTTAAATGCATAAAATATTTCGTACTTTAATTTGTTACTGCGTGAAACTTCCTTTTGTTAAATCAAAGTAGACACAAAATATTCTTTTCGTTCAAAGTTGATGTTAAATTGTAAATGCGTACGTAATTATGCAAATTTTTTAATATCTTAAATAATATTATTTGAATGAAATAAATAAATATATAATTTATTAATTCTTTCTGTTTTTTAGTTTTATGTAAAAATTAAGTAAAAGTTTCTCCTAAAAAATTTATTATATGAATGATTGATAAATTATTTAGTTATTTATTTTATTCAAAAAAAATTATTTAAGATATTTTACTATTTTTATTTATATAACATTTACATAACTAGGTATGCGCTTTATAACCAAATATCAGCTTTGAGCGAATTGAAAAAGTAATTATACATACTTTAATTTAACACAAAGAGATTTGATGCAATAAATATAATACAAAATATTTGTGTCTTTACCTAAAAACACAATAGAGTATTATATAATTTACACTAATATTTAAGATGGTAAAATATATTTTTTAAAAAATTATAAATTATAAACATTCAATTAACATCTCAACAGTGATTTAGAATACATACGAATAAGAAGAGACAATGAGACTCCAACAGTGGATATTTTAATTATAATATAATATTAAATGATCATTTCACCTAAAATTTTACATATTAATTAACTTCATAATAAATAAATAAAAAAATAAATTATACATATTTTTTTAAGTATAAAACTTTTAGTGAAATAACCGTTTTAACATAATATCAAAGTCAAAACATATTGCATTGGAATCATACAGCCCCTCATCATCATATTTGTCACTCAACGTTTAAGATGTATAACCAAGTTCACAAAGTTATATTGAATTTGCTATTCAAAGTTTGAAACTTGTTTCTAGACTATATTTTATCATCTTTTAGGTTTGTTATTTGAGGTTTTAGTTTTGTTACCTCGAATATGAGGTTTATTATTAATTTATTAATTTTACTTCTTCTTAGTTTAATTAAAATAAAAAAATTATAAATTATAAATTTTTAAATTGTGATTACAGTGTATAATTATATTTTCAAAAAAGAAAATCACAAATTATGTGGGACAGATAGAAATAGAAAGAGGGAAAAAAAATTAGGTGAAACGGAGAAAGTATTACTCCCTCCGTCCCACATACCGTGTCTGCTACACTGTAGACACGGTATTTTAGGAGGGGTGTAATTAATAGATAATTAATAATGTATTAGTGAAAATAATTATTCGATAATATAAATAATTATAAATTAAAATTAAGATAACTAATTAGTTTAATTAAAATTAAAAATAAAATAAAATTAAAAAGTTTAAAATGAGATTAAAGTATGTAATCATTTTTCAAAAAAGAAAAATGATATGGTATGTGGGACGGACAGAAATAGTAACATGGACATGGTACGTGGGACGGAGGGAGTATTTTTTAGTTTTCTTGCACATATAGAGATGGAATTCTCAAGTCATCTTCAGATTCCATTTAAAGCAACCTAACTAATTTGAGATAAATAATTAAGTAAGCTTTACATTGACTTGACTACGTCCGTTCGCGTGTGTATTTTATTATTATTATTATTATTATTACAATTTAGAATTTTTTTTTTTTTTATAAAAGTATATATATATATATATAATTATGAGTACCACATGGTAAAAATTAAAACCAAATTCTAATTAAACATAATTTTAATTCAGTAAAGTGCACTATACTAATTTGAGTTTTTAATTTTTTATAATCATAGGACTTGCTGATTTTATCCTATCAATATAAATCACCAAAGAAATTTGCACACATTTCCATATAACACATCATAATATTTAATCATATAAAAACATATATTGTGTAATTTTATGTATATTATATTGAATCGAAATTATGGATAAATTAGAACTGAAATCAAATTTTATAAAGTTCGATTTCAAATTTACATTTCTTCAAATTATAAATTAATTGATGGGTCAAACTAGCTACTTTCAATTGTAGTTTAAAATTTTGAAGATTATAAATTCAGCAAGTTAAACAAATAAATTGCTTTATAAATTTAAATAAATAAATAATTTGTAAAATTAAATAATATTTTAAATATAATTGTTTTAATAAGTACATTAAATTTATAAATTTTAATCATAACTTAAATATGCTTTTTAAGTTAAATTATTAATTAAATGATAATTATTTTATAAGATTAAGTTTTACTAATCTTTTTACATAAAGTATTAAAATACATCTTTCAACAAGACTAAATTCTATCTACTTTTTAACACATTTTTTCGTTGAGATCGACAATTAACTAATCAAATGTTATAGTGAGATATTTTGATTTAACAAAGCTGATGTGAATTGGATCCGACATCAACTTATTTGTTCTATGTTATCATTCTTCAAATGAGATCAGACTTTTTTGCAAAGGTTTAATTTTCATCGCAATTGTGCAATGGAATTTCAAATATTCTATATTGAGACAAATTAATATGGGGAGTTGCAACTGAGTGAATATATTCCGTCGCAAAATGGCTACTAATTTTAAAACTAAATGATTACACCCTCGCCATTTAGTAATAGATATTGCAAAGAAAACATTTTGTCACAACTTAGTGATGGAATTTGCAAACAAAGCTTTTCGATTGCGAAAGGGGTTATACCTTCCAATGTAGTGACGGATTTTGCAAAGGAACTTTTCAGTATTCGGTAGCATAATGTGTTAAATATCTTTACGGATCTACATTTTTGTTGCAATTTTGCAAGAGATTGAGATATAAATAAAAATATTATAAATAATATTATTCTTTTTAAAATCTTGAAAAATACTCCCTTCCTCCCATTTAATTTGAAAATATAATTATACATTTTAATCACATTTTAAAATTCATAATTTATAATTTTTTAATTTTAATTAAACTATTTATTCATCTTAATCTTATTTTATAATTATTTTTATTAAATTATAATGTATTAATTACTAACTAATTACATAATACTTAAAACTCTACGCCCAAACTGAAGAGGATAAATTAAGTGGGACAGTAGAGTATTTAATATAACAATTATATAGCATACCATATGGCATGAACATTTTGTCAGTAAACTCTCGTCCGTAAGTAAATAAATAAATGATGTGTATCATAACTTAAACTGTTAAGTATGTTGTATCATTTATATCGTCTAACAATTTTTAATCAATTTTCATTTATTAGACTATCAGTCATCCTGATCCTCCCTCTTAAGTGTACTAACTTAAATATTATCAATTTACAATAAATTTACGGGTACATACATACACACCATATTTGTAAAAATATATATATACCTTTTTATATGAAATTTAAAAAATATTAATATTTTTAAATGAATGCTAGTGGATATTTTTTATGTGTAAAGATTTTTATTTTTTGGCATTTCCATTTTAATTTATCATAATAATATTGACGTAAATAAGTGTGAATTTAAATGTATTTATAACGTGTAGCGAAATTCAATTATAGTAAAAATGTATATTTTGTATTCCAAAAAATGAAAATGCCGAAATTTGTATCTAGTTTTCATAGAAAAGTATAGAAAATAGTGAGGATTGCAAATAATGTGTTGTGAAACCCAAATTGAAGTTTGAAAGGTATTGTACATCGAACCCTTTGAGCACTGGTCAAACTCAGTGGTGAGTTCCCTGGTGTTACAAGGAGGCCAGCAAAAAATAAATAAATAAAAAATACAATTTATTGAGCCAAGCGGTAGAATTTTGACCTACACTTCTATATATACTTGATGTATTCTCTATGTAATTTATACCCGAAAATACTAGTAAACTTATCTTATTTGGTCACCGGTGAATGTAAATTATCAATCTTTGCTTTTTGTGTAATTTTTTTTATTATTATTTCTTTCTTAATTTCCACCAATAGTGAAATTCAAAATGTGAAAATAAATAAATAATAAAAACTCAAGATATATATTATATCCATACTTGTTTATTCTCTCTCTCTCTATATATATATATATATATATATGCCTCCTCTCTCCCCTCCGTTGAGGCAAATTAAGTAGTAATGGAGGGAGGAGCATCAAGATTTGGTGTGTTGTTGTTTGTATTAATAATTTTGTTAGGGTTTGTGGAGGGAGAGGAGGAGCAGCGGATAACGGCGCTGCCGGGGCAACCACGGGTGAATTTCTCGCAATTTTCCGGGTATGTGACTGTGAGTGAGAAACACGGCCGTGCTCTCTTCTACTGGCTCACTCAGGCTCACTCCAATGCTTCCATCAAACCCCTTCTCCTTTGGCTCAATGGAGGTATATTCTATATATTCTTCAATTCAATTCACTTCACCTTCAATAACTCTTTATATATATATATATGGTTATAAATCTTATGTCCTAAAAGGAAAATGATCACAATTGGTTATGTTATGAAATTTTAATTATAACTTAATATGTCAAAAATTTTGTTGAATTTAGTTCTATTTTTTTGTGTTACGGAATTTGAAATGGAACACTGAATTGAGTTTTTTGTTTAAATATTATTTTGATATTTTATTTTATAAAAGAAAATATTATATTTTTTATTTAAAATTTGAACATTATTGATTTCGATTTAAAATTATCAAAGAAAACGCCCACATATTTTTTAATTAATAAAATCTTAAATAAACAAAAAAATATATATCTTTTACTTTTTAAAAAATAATAGTAATATGGTTGTATTCTTTTAGTATTTTAGAATTTTAGAGGGATTTTTTTTTTTTTGGTTGGTTATTAAGAATTATGGATTAAATATTTTGAAGAATTGTGATATTGTTTGAGTGAAATAATTTTTATTATTTTTAAAATATTTTTTTGAGAGAAAATTAGTTTATTTTTATTACAAAACCAATTACAAAATTTATTGAGAATGACTTAAAAAATAAAATAACAAATTGGCTGTGTATTTTTACTCCATTTCCTGCCAAATTCCTTTAACTTGTTCGTATTGTTTTCTAAATGATACCATTTAAATAATTTTTTATCTGTTTTATTTTAATCTTTTGTTTGAATTTTTTTAATAATTGTATACATAAAGATAACTGGAAATGAAGAAAATTATTTGTAAATTGAAAAAAATAATAATAAAAAATAAAGGTATAACTTATTTCAAAGATTCTAAAATAAAAATACTAGTAATAAAGTTGGATATCCCTATAATAACATTATTGTTTAATTAATTTGTGAAGTAATAAATTAATTGATAAGCAGATCAAGTTCCTTTGCTTTCAGAAACAGCAATTCATAAACAACTTTTCTTAATTGGCATATTTACAAGTAATTCAACTTTTACTCAATATTAAATTAATACTCAATTCCATTATCTTATAATAATTGAAATTGGATCACATGAAAATTTACTATCAATTTATCATAATTCATATGATCATCTAAATTATTAATTTGTTTATATATACACAATCAAGTATGTGAATTTGAATGCTGTTTTTTAACATTATATGATATTTCAAAAGATGAAAAATAATGAGGATAAATGATATATACATATATTGTGTTTATTTAAATGATTAAGATGAATAGTATTATTTTACTCAATCTAATCATTTGTTTATTTTGATGTATTAAAATATGGGATTAATTAAAGCCAATATAATAATAAATAATTAATCCTACTTAAATAGATAGAATTAGTTTATCTCTAGTAATATTTGTATCCATAGTTGTTATATTTTTCAATATTTAATCAAATAAAATAAATATGATATTAATTAATCTTATAATTATGTAATCTTTTAAAATAGTCATATATACTATAATTCTATCCTTTAAATTAAACACGCATAATATTTATATTCCAAGTAAAATGTACAACAATATATATGTCCTATGTATTTATTTATTTTTCTAAGGGTGTGTTTGTTTGGGGGATTGGAGTAGACTTCCGCTATTCATTTTATTTTTTTCTCCCAAAAATATCAAATCAAACACTTATTTTTTATTTTTTCTATTATACTAAAAATCAATTTATATTCAAAACATCACATCAACACCTATTTATATCACATCATACAATTATTCAAACCCCCAAACAAACTGCGACAATGAAAATAATGTAGGAAATTTCAATTATACGTGCAAAATGGGAATTTTATACACCTTTTTAACTGACACAAAAATGAAATTAAGTATCGAAATTTGCTTAATTTATACATTTAAGTTAAAAAAATAGAATGAATTAATTAGTAGTGGTACAGGGCCAGGATGTTCATCAGTGGCATATGGAGCATCTGAAGAAATTGGGCCATTTAGAATCAATCAAACTGCTTCATCTCTCTACCTAAACAAATATTCATGGAACACAGGTACTAACTTACCTATGCATATGTATTATCCTGATCCTATGTGTTTGTTCGGGGTTTTGGATTTTCAGTTGGGACTTGAATAGTAAAAATTTTGAATTTGAATAGTTGTATGATGAGATATAAATAGGTGTTGATGTAATATTTTGAATGTAAAATTGATTTTTAGTATAATATAAAAAATGAAAAATAGGTGTTTGATTTGATATTTTTGGGGGAAAAAAATAGGATGAATAGTGGATTAAAAATTCAATCCTCCAAACAAACACACCATCAATACTACATTCTGTTAGATAGATTGATAGTATTTATTATTTGTTAGACGATTTGAATAATCGTGTCTATAGGGATAAGTATCATTCATTTTATTTATTTATTTTTATTAATTTATTTATCTGCGTAAGGAAATTAATCGAACATTATCTATTCTATTCTATGTGTTGTATTAACAGAAATCAAATTTTTTATTCTAAAATTTTCTACTGCTATTCCCACCAATAAAATAGTGTGATTATGTTGGAAGAAAAAAAAAATACAAAAAGAATTTAAGTTTTATTAAAAAAAAATTAGGTATTAATTTTTTTTTCTTTAAAAATAAAATAGTAATAGTTATAAATCTACAATTTTAGTTAAATTTTTATTACATTATTTTATAATTTGTATAAGAAAATATATACATTTTTTTATATAAAATATCGTACTTAAAATTAAAATAGAAAATTATATACAAAAATTAAACTCTTAAAACATTATATATTTAAATTATTATTTATATATAATTAGGTCTATTTTATATTTAATTTAATATTGATATTTCATTTAAATAATAATTGAATATAATATCTTTGAAAATAATTATGTATTTTTACAGAAATTAAAAATAGTACTATGATAAAAAAAAATCAAAAAAATATATATATTTTATTATAAAAAATGATATTCAGATGTTTCATTGAAAAAATATATATATATTCAATTTTTTTTAATTCAAAATTATATATATTCTTAATTTCATTTTTTATCATGTTCTTTGAAAATTTGTGAAAATATATTTTTAAATAAATTATCATATTGAATTACTATCTAAACGAAATGTAAAATATAAAATTAAATAAAAATTTCTTAAAATATTGTATAAAAATGATTGTACATTTATTATTTCAAATTCAAATAATACTATTCACATAGCATAGCATGATTTTTTATAAAAATATATTATTATTCTCTTAAATAAAATATCATATGAAAATATTATTTAGATAATAACTCAAATCAATACCTCATTTTAAATTAATTTTAAATCATAAATAAAACTAACTTGAATTTAAGTATACAATTAATTTAACAATTTATTTTGTATTAAGTTTGTATTTAGGTTTGATAGAGATATTTTGAAAAAATAAGAATAATAATAATAATTATTATATTTTTATAAAAAATTTAAAGTAATATAATAAAAAAACTGAATATAAATTAACATTGAATATAAATCTTATTTTATTTTATTTTATTTAAAAAATGAGTAAGTAATATAAATTAAAAATAATAATATATATCTAAATATAATAAATTATTCATATTTTGTCTCAACACACATCACTATTTTATTGGTAAGACTAAAGGAAGTTAAGAAATTCTGGAACCAAGAATTTGGTGTAGTATCAACGTGTATTGATATCAATTGTAATATATATAGTGTAAATTATTGTTATGTATTATCAATTCATGATATTATTATTATTATTATTATTATTATGTATTTTCAATTTATATATTATATTTATATTATATTAACATAGATATGTGTTGTCAATTCATATTTTATGTATTGCCAGCACAGTGCTAACTATTTGTCGTCGGAACTATAGCTGTCACCCTTCGTTCCATTATTTTTGATATATTGACTTTTGATATATTATAAATAGTATAATTTGATAGAAAATAAATAAAAATAAAAAAATAAAAATTTTTTTTTGACAATTTCACTCTTACCTTTATGTTCAAAATAATTTTATAAAATGCATATAAAGTGGAAAACAAAAATGAAAAAATGAGTATAAAGGAAGAAAATTTGCAAAACTTCTAATCAATTCTAAATTAGAAATAATAGTAAAAATTTTGAAAAAGGGGAAGTGTGTATATTTACATACATATACGAATGACAAAGCATAAAAGATAATAAGGACGGCTATTAACAACAGTAGGGTGAGCAACTGCTCATGTTTTTTTTTTTTTTTATATTAGATTATTATCATTATTAAATTTTAAATTTTATTTTATATATTATATTTTTATTATTATTCAATTTAATTTTAATTTTAAGATTAAATTATCTCTTTTTTTCTTTTTTTTTTATTAATCTTTTCTTCCTAATGACACAGAACTTCAATGTCGCCTACACCTCCCCCTTTCACGTCCTTGTCGCCTTGCGCCTATCTACACAGACCAAAACCCACTTTTCTCCCTCTCTTTACTTTCTATTTCACATTCTCTCAGTTTTTCTCACTATTCGAACATCCAGACGAAGCGTCATCGGTTCGATTTCCATCTTTTTCTCTTGAGTCAACACCATCGTCAGACCGTTGTCTTAAACTTCTTGTCTAGCCGAAGCCAATGTCACTGATGTCATTTTAAAAATACTTCTAGCCATGTATTTATAGGGCCTAAATTTTATTTTTGCTCAGGGCCCAGAAAAAGTCCGAAACGGCCCTACAAGATAATATTGTAAATTTAATATTTTACTATTAATTAGTTGTATAATTTCACTTACTTGATGTGGTATTATATTACTATAATTTATTCTATAATAATAATAATAATAACAATGATAATAAATAATTGCAATTTTATTTTTTTCATGCAGACGCAAATATACTTTTTCTCGAGTCTCCGGCTGGAGTTGGATATTCATATACAAACACATCTTCTGATCTCCGTCACACAGGGGATAAAAGAACAGGTAAAATAAGACTTTGTTCTTTGTATTTTGTTTTTTTTTTAAAAAATTTTAAATAAAAATAATATTTTAATGTTATGCTTTATGAGGAAAAATGATGTTAAATATAATATAATTAGATGAAAAATTAAATGAGAAAATAAAAATATTTTAGAAAATAAAATTTTTAATATAAATTAAACAATCAAAATGCTCTATAGTGTCGTTCGATTGAATGTATTTGGATTTGAGGATGAAGTTTAAATTAATGAGTTTGATTACTTTGTCTATTTGAATACTTCATAATTATAATTCATCCGTTCTGTTGCAGAAAGTATTTAAAACGATACGGTATAGATAAATATTTGAAATATGAAAATGATGATTTAAAAAACCACAAGATCTGAAATTCATAAAATTCATTTGGTTGGAGTTATTCAAGTTAAAAGAGATTTCAAATTATTCCTCCAAATTCACTAATTTTGCTTGGAAATGCAATGAATTTCAAATGTTTAAAGTTGATTGTAAATTTCAAATTCATCTCTTTTAATATTTCAAATCCTCATTATATCATTTTATTTCAAATACTTTGTCCAATCAAAGAATGAATATTAATTATGAAAATATTTCGAATTTATAATAATTTAAATCCATTAGTTTAAAATTCATTGTCTAATTCAAACTCAATTATTTAAATTTCATTCATTTAAAATTCATTATGCCTTCTCATCTCCAAAGGCCAAGGAGCGGCCGAATCCCTTTCATTTGGTAGCTCCTTTTTTCAAATTCAAATCCATCCGACCAAATGAAACATAATGAATTTCATGAAATTTTTTTTCCAATCGAAAAAAAGGTCTATAAATTTTATTATATATTTGATTTTGTATTCATAAAAATGATAATATACTTTATTTATATTAATTGATTCGTACAGCGCGAGATTCTCTAATTTTCATTTTGAAATGGCTGGACAAATTTCCTCGGTATAAGTACAGAGAATTCTACATTTCTGGGGAGAGTTATGCAGGTAATAAATATTCTACTTACACTCACTCCTTCTATCACTTAAAAAATTTATTCATTTTTTTATATATCCCTTAAAAGTATTTTGATTTCTTTATTTAGTAAAAATCATATTACCTAAATTACATTTTACTATAAAAGACAAAAAAAATTACAAATATATATATATATATACACCTTCATTAAAATTGTGTCCAAAAGTATGTTCTCATTTTTTTTAGATGGAGGGAGTATGTTTTAACAGTATAGATTAAGTGCTGAATTTTAACCTGTGCTAATGTTTAAAAACATATTATTTATAATTATATTAATTAAGTATTTAATTATATAAATTAGAGTAATTATATTTTATGTTATCAACACCTGTGCTAAATGAATTCTTTCAGCATATGATCGACACCGATACTTTTAATTTAAATACATAAAATAATATCTTATATAAATTATATTGTTTCCATCCCACTTAAATAATCTTACTTTTTAGTTAAGGTTTTTCCATCTAAACATGTCATTTTCATTTATAGTGTATGTGGGGGCTCATGCAATTACTAAAAATAATGAAATAGTTGGAAAGAAATTTTTTTATGTGAAGTATGGAGAATTTATAGAGAATATAAAAATAATGAATATATATAATATATTAATTTTTTGAAAAATGTGCTTGAGAAAAAAATAAAAAGAACACACCCTAATTTACTCTCATTTTTTTTTTTATTTACTATGATACCATCTCACTAATTTTTTTACCCTACTAATCCCAATAGTATTTTAGACTTTTTACTTTTTTCTTTAATTTTTATTTTACACAAACTTACTCACCAAATAAAATTATTTGACGAGTGTAGTATTGCATAATACTTCATTTGCCCATTTTAAAGTTATCTGTTTTGTTAACTTACACTTATGTATATAATATTATTACATTAATTTATACTTCAGAGGAAAAATAATTTTACATACAAAAAGTACCAAAATCTACTATTAAAATATACTTCTTATGTTCCACATTTTGTGTCATGTTTTTTCTTCCCACATCTCAATGTCATTTTAAAAAAAAGAAAAAGGAAAAGAAGGCACTTTAATTATATTTTAATTTTTTTATTTTTATTATTTTTATTTTAATTAAAGTAATTAGTTATCTTAATCGATAATTATGTGTATTATACTATAATTACTTTTTTACTAATATATTTTAAATTATTTATTAATCATCTTTCTCCTAAATTTCTGTATATATAGTAACTGTGACACGGTAGGTAAGATCGACATAGTATTTTTTATTAAATTATGCATCAAAAATAAATGAGTACTTCATAATTTATCTTCGTATCAACAAAATTAGTGCATACAATTCCTAAGGCTGTGTTTAAGGTTTGTATTTGATCTTAGTACTATTTGTATTTTTTTTTCCCTTAAAACAATCGAATATTTATTATTCTTTAGTATATTATATATATTTTTTATTCAAAATATTAGATCAAATTCAAACCTTAAAAATATTCAACTATGTTTTGTAATGACGTTGATCTTCCTTGTTGTTCAATAGGACATTACGTTCCTCAATTAGCGCAAGCGATACTTGAGTATAACAAAAGATATTTCCGTTCCAATCCGATCATCAATCTCAAAGGGTTCATCGTAAGCCCGTTCTTACACTATTTCATCCTCTAATTCCTTTATTTTATTTTTTGTATCACCAAATATTGATTTTCTTTAAAAGTATAAACCCCGAATTAGTATTTTTTTATCATAATATATGTGGACGCAGGTCGGCAATGCTGTCATGGACAACTACTACGATAATATTGGGACCGTGACATATTGGTGGACTCATTCTATCATATCAGATAAAACCTACAAGCGAATCTTAAAGTCATGTGATTTTAGGACACAAAATACTTCTCGAGAGTGCGATGATGCCATGGATTACGCTATGAGCTATGAATTTGGGGAGATCGATCCTTATAGCATTTACACGCCGAAATGCGAGGCATCCTCAAAAAGATTACGCCAACGCTCTTTAAAATTCAAGAATAACCCTATTCATCTTAGATTTTCCGGCTACGACCCTTGCACTGAGAGATACGCGGAGATATATTATAATCGGCCAGATGTACAAAAGGCCCTTCATGCAAATACAACGGGGATCCCGTACAAGTGGACCGCATGCAGGTTTGTTCGGTTGTGCTTTATATTTATTTTTATCGTTATTCATTCTATAACAATAACCCCTCTCTCCCCGCCCCTATCGCTTCAAAATATTTATCTCAAGATCTTATTTTATTTAATATATATATATATATATTTCTCAATCAAATCGTAACATTCCGTACTATATTTATTCCAATTCAATGTTTTAATTATCTGTAAAATAATCTAAAATGTCATAATACAACAAAATAATTTTGAGAAACTTATAAGACAAAAATAATTTGTATTTTTGACAGTGATGATCTTCTAGGAAATTGGAAGGACTCCGAGTTTTCGATGCTCCCAACGTACAAAAAGCTCATTGCTGCGGGGCTTAGAATATGGGTATTCAGGTACCATCTTATTATTGATCTTATAAGTACATCAAAATAATATATTATATCAAATTACTATTGTTTCTTTTAGTTTTTTTTTTTTAATAATTTTAACTAATTAATTGGTATCTTTTTAAATATAATTAAATTTTTTTTCGTAAAAATTATATTAAATTATTATTTAAACCAAAATTCAAACTTTAAAAAAAAAATACCCCTTATTTTCTCTAAGTTTTTTTTTTTTTTTTACTATTTAATCTTACAATTCTCTAAATAATACTTTCTCCGTCCAATTTCTATTGTCCTAAAGTATATTTGCACTTTTAGGTGATTGTCTTTTTGTCATGAATTGTCAAATTTGTCCTTAATTGTATGGTAGAGATTAAAAGTAAAATAAATGGAGGGTAAAAATATAAAATTTATGTTTAAAAAATGGAATAGGACAACAGTTGTTAAACGTCCCAAATAAGAAAATAGAATATTAGTTTGTGGACGAAGAAAGTATTTATTTATTTTTTTCACAAAACATTCATATTCAACCAGCAGCTAAATTAAAACCCAAAACCAAATACATTTAAGTTTACCAATCTCTTATGACATAGTAACAAATCCAAGCATAGGCTCAAAGGTCACATCCCAAACAGCATATTATATTAAAATAAAGTTACATGTGCATCATCAACTGATAAGGTATGTTATAAAAAAATTCATTTGTCTTACAAAAATGTGATAATTTCTTTTGTAAAATACAAAGAAAGCTAAGTAAGCATACTTTATAAGACGAAAATAGTAATAATCTCTCCATTTAAATATATTTTCTAATAATTTAGGATATCGTAAACTATTTGCAATTGTTCTTCGTTTATATACAAATATAATTTAAACTCATTTCGAACAAAGAGTAAAGACAAAACAGTGAAAAAACAAAATATATATAAATAAATAAAGAAAAAAAATATTTTAGGAAAAAATAAATAATTTTAATAGATTTTAAAATATAAAAATATTTATGATTCATCACTGTATTAACTGAATAGCACGTAATATACTTATATTGGTGAACAAAATACTGACAAAATAAACATGTATATGTTTCACTATCATATGAGTTCCGGCTTATAATTTATATATAAAAAAAAAATATTTTGTACATTTTTGTTAAGGTGTTCTCAATATTTATAATTTATATAATAGTAGTTTTAATTTTTTTATTCTATATCAAATGGGTGTGTTTGTTTTGCGTTTTGGTACGAAGAAAATTTTTTAACATAAGATATAGAGATTATGTAAATAATATGAAAATAATGAATGTGTATAGTATATTAAATTATTTTTTTTGAGAAATTTGTTAAAAAAATTTGTTAAAGAAACAAATACAATACATTAAACAATCATTTCAATTAAAACTTTTATTATTCTCAAGATGAGCTAAAACAGAGTAAAGCAAATCCTAAAACACATGTCCGTAAAAAAAATGATTTAATGGTATGAGGGTAAATCGTTATCGTAAAATCGTTAGTTCAAACCTCTGACATTGTAGCGGCCGCATGTTCCACCTTATCAAAATAAATAAAATAAAAATTTTGAGACTATTTCTTTAAGATTCAAATTTGATTTCACATTATTTATCATTTTCATTTTTCGTCTAAAACCATAAAATCAAATATTATTTTATTCAAAATCTTATTATTTTCAAAATACAAATCTAAAATCCAAACTTTAAAGAAATTGAGATAAATAATTTTACATTTTTCAGTTCTACTCAAATCAACCTTACTCATTGCAAGTCCTAAAAATATAAATGTTTAATTTATATTTGATAATTTAATATATAATTTATTATATTTTAAAATAAATTTATAAAGGCAATAGTTATAAAAAAAAATAATAATAAATACATTTAAATAAAATATCATTGTCTAAAAATTTATCTAAAGACAAAATAACTATTTTTACTTTAAATTTACATTTGCATGCTTTTGTCTTTTCCCTCTATATTTTTTATGTCAAAATAGACCTAACAATGATTACTTACAAGTTTTCATTAACTCAAGTAAATAAGTTATTTTATTAAATGAAATAATATTGTTCAAATTAATCATTAAAAATAAACACATCCTTGTAGATCAATATTGAATAATTATTAAACGATATCAAAAAGCTCCTCTTTAATTTATAATGTGTCACAAATTTGTTCATTTGCACAAAATATTATATACTATTTTTAATAAATATATACTTTTATAAAATATTTTGAAAACAATTAAAATAATTATTTTAATGACAATATCATAGTTCATTATAATTAATAACAAAAATTTTAAATTTCTAAACACAAAAGAACGAAACGAAATTCAATTGTCAGCTTGTTTGTTTATATTTGAATTTTATTTTTTAATTTAAACTTTAAATAGTATTTTATGTAAAGAGAAATCTTTATTAAGAACTTCATTAAATTGGCACAATTTAGCTTAAAATCTAAATTTTAGGCCAGAAGTAAAAATACTAAAATTGAAAAGTAAGCATACCATGTTTACCACATATTTTTAATAATGTTTGCATATTCATCAAATACTTATTTTTATTATAAATACTAATTTAAAAACTATTTTTTTTTACATAAAATATCAAATATAATATATACTTATATTATATTAAATACTCTTTTTTTTTTTCATCTAAGACTTCGTAATGTCATTATATTTGAGCCTATATTTTAAAAAATAATAACATTTTAATATAAAAATAAATTATATAAAAAGTTAAATAAAAATATTATAAAATATTTATTAAAGAGTTAGTAGAAAATAATAGAGTAAATAGAAATAGAAATAAAAATAATAATAATTATTTTTAAAATAAAAATAATGAATTTGTAGATATAAGGAAAAAAAAAAAGAAAAAGAAAAAGAAGAAGACATAATTATCAAGGGAAGAAGAAGTGCTATGTATTTTCAAAACTAACAAAACCCTCATTCTTTTAACTTCGGCCGTATGGTCACACGTACAGTCCCACGCCACCGGGCCATTGTTCTTGGTTAATGACTAATCTACAAATAATACATTATGAATTAACAATATATTAAGTAATAATAATAATAATACTTATATATAGCATTCATTAAAACAAATATTTTCTTTTTGTCAAAATAATTCAACACATTTTTCTCAAAAAATTAATATATTATAGGCTTATTATTATTTTTATATTATTTACACAATTATCTATCTCAAATAAAAAAAAAAAATATTCCTTTACATTATTTTACAAATCAGACACACATGATTGTTTTATATTTTAATTGTTCAATTCATAAAAATAATCAAATAAACCTAAATGATCTTTTTTTATATATAGAAATAATTCTACCATCTATATTTTTGTACTTTAAATAAATATATAGTTCAAAAATAGTTATGTATTTCACTATTCATCCCATTCCTCGAACCTATCCCTATACAACTTCCACGTTATTATGTCGGCCATCTAAAAATAGATTTATTTATTTTGGCACCTATTTTTAATATTCTCTCCGCCTGTAAATATTACATTTACATTGTACTTAATATTATAAATATAATTATATTTGTATAATTTTTTTATACAATTATCATTATATTAGTATTATAAGGCACCAATAAATTTTTTTTTTACTTTTTTTATTGCTTTGTACTACATATTGATATAATAATTAATATTCATAAAAAACAAATATAACCCTTATAGCCGAACGGAGAGAATATAATATATTTTTGTCTTTTGTAATAAAAATATAATAAAAGGCTATATGGTAAAAAAGAGAAATCAAAACCTTTTTCTTATGATAGGGTATAAAAAAGATACTTCTTGTACACTATAGTTATAAAAAAACTTAAACTATGTCCGTAAATGTAGCGGAGATACAGACTCGGTTGTTCCAGTGACGGCAACTCGATTTTCCCTACGCCATCTCAATCTTAAAGTCGAAAGAGAATGGTATCCATGGTACTCCCAAGGCCAGGTACAGATATTAGACCATACTGATCCCCTAATTTTGTGTGAAACGCTCATACTCGACAATATACATACATACATATATATATATACATCAATCGAGTTTCATATAGGTTGCCGGATGGACTGAAGTCTACAAAGGCCTAACTTTTGCGACAGTTAGGGGAGCGGGGCATGAGGTTCCCCTGTTCCAACCAGAAAGAGCTTTGACACTTTTCCGGACATTCTTGTCCGGGAAATACTTGCCTGATTCTTCAAAACAATAGCATACGTATGAATACACGAATATGTAGAAATACACCGAAAAAACCAACCTAATTCTAATGTCATCTCTACAAATTCAACAAGGAAACCTCAATTTGTAATGCTAAGTTTAATTCAATTTCACTTGTATGCAATTGCAATTCATCCTCATTGAAATGATTCTTATTGAAAACTATATATGATATCAATAATATGCATTTATTTGAACAAGGAATTTGTTATATTGAATATTTGGCACAACACTCACCCCCCCACCCCCCCTACTATTGAACTCAAACTCAAATGATGATTAGTTAGTTATTCTTAGCTAACCGTAATAGCTACCTCATGACTTAACGGTCAAAAGTCCACCTCCCATGCCAACTCGGGTACATCTTACGGGGCTTGAATAGTTAGTTTTTCTTGCCTAAAGTTTTCAATTACACTTGAGTACGAGGAAATAGGGTAATGACATATGTAACAAATATAATTTAACATAAATTCATGCAATACTAGATGTAAAATATGATTGCATAAATCACTTCATGCTAAAAAAACATGCATAGAATTTGTTTTATAATTTATATACAAATGTAAGGAATGCTATGAACCATTTTAACTAACACAACTACGAATTATAATTTATATAAAAACATGTTATACATAATACGAACATTTGGTTATTGAAGCGCCACAAGATGTCTTGCATTTCATCGAACCTTAGTATATAATGAAGGGCATTGAGATTATTTATGAACCACGAGTCCACAACTGCTTGAAACCTCATGAGCTAGCAATATTAGAGTGACATAAACAAGCAGGCAAGGGAGTTGAGGTGATAGCTATGGGCGAGCAAGAATTTGTTTCTCATATCATATGGTTGCCTTTACTACCCGCCAAAGTGAAATTAGAAAAAGCCAAGGAGGAGAAGAAGGGGAAGGAAAGCTGGAAAAACTAGCGGGGATGGTATGAAATGGTGAGTTGCAAAGTAATTTCGAAACATTTTTGGTGGCGCACGAGTTGAGGGGAATTCGGTGGTGATAGAGAAATAAATAAAGGCATGCCACACTTAAGAGGCCATCACTACCAGAAGTTTAGGTTGAATTGTGAATACCAAATGGCACGATTAGATGCAAGCAATCAATAGAATAGAAAACACAAACAGAATCAAGAAAACAAAACAATATGGGCATATAAGCAATGATTAAATGACATTGCATGATCAAACAAGAACCGAAATGGAACAACTCTAAACCAAAATGGATCACATGTATTGAGCACTGATCTATTGTCAATCATATAAAAATTCATGAACTAGTACCAAATGCCGATACTAAACAAGGCTTTAACCCAACCTCAAGCATGCAAAAACTCATCTTAATGCTAATATGAATCATTCTTGTTAATTTTTGCTGTTTGTACTGCACCAGCCTATTTAGTTATTTAATTCCATTAAAATTTACTTAATTAAGCTGTTGTATAGTGAGGTAGTTGGAATATATAAAGTCTAGAAAAAGTTAGCTAGAAACACTAATTAATTTGTGAAGTGATGTCACAATCTACATTCGTGCAAAATTCCAGTTCAATACCGTGCTCTAGGAGCTTACACGAATGTTCGAATTATGTGTCACCCTCACCGCTTCTAGCACCAATACACAAAGTCACATCTTGGCTCTGTTTTCAACTTGAGAAAATTCTTACTAATACAACGCACTATTATTTGGTGAACTAAGTGTGTATTTCACCAGATCCTTCTCTATCCATTCTTGATTGTTTTCCAGATAAATTCTTAAGAGATTACCTATTTCACACATTTCATCAATTTAGTAAGTTTTTGCCACTGAAATCGCTGGAATTCAAACATAATCAATATCAAACTGAACAAATATTATTAAACAAACAAGCAATCAGATCAGATTACACGAACAAGCATTTCCACAACAGCAATGAGAAATATCCAATACAACATACAGCGCAGAAATCAGAAGAAATGAAGGGGCGAGAAATTACAACAGTTCTAGGCGAGCTCGTAATAATCCCCACGGATGTGATCAGGATTGAGGCAGACAATAGCGTAGATAGCGTAAATAATCCCAGGAATATACCCTAAAATGGTCAGAACTAAGCAGATGAAGAACTCCACCTGCAAAAAGCAATAATCCCAAACAATTAACAAAAATTAGGGTTAGGGATCTGAATCGAATTGCAAGGAGCTTACGGTGCAGCATCCGTAGCGGAGGCAAACGCCGAGGGGAGGGAGGAGGATTGCGATTAGAATTTCGCATATAGTTGCACATGTGGACGCCATATCGATCTCGAATCTCCGTTACTTTTGCGTTCCTCCACTCTTTCTTCTGTGTTTCAGAGGGCAGAGATTTGACAATGATGGCACCGGGTTTCCGACCATATTTATTTTAAAAGGCGTATATAGTGGTGTTTTCCCACCACAAAAATAATTTCTTTACCAAATGATTGTTTATTTTGATAAAAAAAAACACACCCTACATTTTATTTATTTAAAAAAATTATCAATTCAATAAAAAAAGTAGTAGTATAAATATATTTTTTCAATATCCAATATAAAAAATATCTTAAATTTTATAGTAACCAATTATAAAGAACAGTTTTTTATTTAAATAATATTTTTCATCCAATTGAATATAGTTTTTCATTGAATATGTATATTAGATTCGATATCGTAAATATAATTATTACATTGGTATCAAAATAATTTTAATTTTTACATAAATTATAAATATATTATTACGTATACAATTAATTTAGACATAAAATACAAATGATAAAAATGTCAAAAGCATCGTAGATAATTTCATTCACTAATAAAATATTACTCCCTCCGGTAACAATAGTTCATTTGGATCCGGCATGAAAATAAAAAATGAATGTTTTTATTGAAAAAGTAATAAAAGGAAATAAAAAAACCCTAAATTGATTTTTTTTTCTGAACCTCTTTATCATTTTAGTCCCGTAACTGAAGCTTGTCGTAAATTAGTTACGTAAATGAAAATTTTTTGCACTTTTAGTCCTTCAGCGTAGAAAATGCTTACATGGCACTCGCGTGGCTCGCCGGAGGATACGTTTCCGCCGGGTCAGTGACACCCGACGGACACGTAGATCTTTTTATTTATATTTTAATTTTGTCTTTTTAAAAAATAAAAATAAAAATTTTCAAAAAACTGAAAATTTAAAATTTAAAAATAACTAAAAATAAAAATAAAAATCCACGTATTAGTCGGGTGTAGCTGATTTGACAGAGACATGTGTCATCCGGTGAGCCACATAGATGTCACATAGGTATCTCCGACACCAGAGGACTAAAATTGCGAAAAAAATTTTTCACTTACGAGACTAATTTACGATAGACTCTAGTTACAAGACTAAAATGATAAAGGATACAGTAACATGACTAAAAAATCAATTTATCAAAAAAAATAATAATAATTACAAATATTTTAAAAAATTTATTTAATAGTGAATGTGAATGAAGATAGAAAATTATTGGACCTGGGCCTAAGGCCCAAAGCGTCTGCCATGAGAACCCGAAAGTAAAAGCTGCATGACCAAAACTCATAAACAAGAAAAAGCTTTGAGGAATTTGGCACAAAAAATGATCAGAGCTTCTGAAGATGAAGTCTCCTAATTCATCGAACCTTATGCTACCAAGTTCATCAAATCCCCAGAGAGAAGTCCAACGTGATCAAAAGAAAGTCAAAAAAGCATGATAGGAATAAATTGTCCTTTATGATTGCCTAGAGCCTTTAAGATATAGAAACTTTCAGATCAGTCATACTTCATATCGCCAAGGGTTTTAGTTTCAAGAAGAGAGTTGACGTGGTCAAGAGAAGTCAATAAAAGGAAAAAAAAACTGAGGCCACAATCTTAGTCATGTAACAACCATAGGCAATATGGAATCGTAGAAGGAATAAACACCTCCTAGAAATTAGGAAGTTGATGGAATCCTAGTTGCGGCCCGCCCATTCATTATGAAACAAGTGATCTATTTGTTGCAGTCCATATTGATCAATCGGTGCATCCCATAAAGGAATATCATTTGTAGAGGATTTCATTTAGTTGAATTTAGAGTTGTTAACGATCCGAGCCGAGCTGAGCCGAGCCAAATTTTAAGTGTTCATTAATGTTCGCGAACAAGGCTCGGGCTCCTTCGTTAAGCTTTCGAGCTCGTTCGTAGTGTTCGAGCTCGGCTCGTTAAAAAATTTTAATGTTTGAGATCGTGTTCGGCTTGATAGGGCTCGATTAAGCTCGTTCGGGCTCGATTAGGCTCGATTGAGCTCGTTCGAGCTCGTTTGTCTCACTTGTTTTTTTTTTTAAAAAAAAAATAGTAATAAAACATGCAAAAATCGTAATTCAAGAATAAAAGCACAATAAATAACAATCCACTAAAAATTTAACAACAAGAATTTAATTCAACAAAATCCAACACAATTTAACTCAAACTTAATCCAACATAATAAACACAATCAAACACAAACTTAATCCAACATAATCCAACACAAACTTAATCCAACACAATCCAACATAAACTTAACCCAGCACAATCCAAAACAAACTTAAATGAAAATACAATCTTTCTAAACATAACATCATGATACGCTATCAAACCATAGATGCATCAAATGATCGTATCTTTTCACGCTAAAAATCTGCATATATTTGTATATATATATATATATGTTTGTATATCTAAATATAAATTGAGTACAATAATAGAAGAAAATAAGTACCTGAACATGAAATTAAGATACGCCATCAAACCATAGGTAGAAAATACGTACCAAGAATAAGCTACCAAACCGCTAATTCATCAAGGAATTACGCCCTTTAGTTTTGAAAATCTGCAAAAATAATAAATACAAATATCAATGCATGTAAAATAAAATTAAATGGCTAATCTTAATACAACTATAAAATATAAATTTAAAAATGATATATTGAATTACAATACATTATTTATTTCAATGATTCAACTTGGAAGATCAATTTCTTTGTAGTTAGAAAACTCCTTAGCATCCAACTCTTCCTGTAATAAAATTCAAAATTATATCAATTTAATTTAACATAGAAAAATTAGAAAATAAAAAAATAAGAAAGTATTACCTTTTTTTTTAAGGAGTATTTCTTAAGACCATGCAAATTTCTAATTTAATCATTGCCACAAAGTAACATTTGCACCATATCAACCGACATAGAAGCTCGACGATCATCAATAACTCTACCACCGGCGCTAAACTTAGACTCAGAGGTCAATGTGGTTAGAGGAATAGATAATATATCACTTGCCATCCTTGCCAATACTCGAAACCTCAATCTTTCTCCTTTCTACCAACCCAAAACATCCAGGTTTGCATTGGCATCACAATCATATCTACTTTCACTCAAATAAACATCCAAATCAGATTTTTGTGGCGGGGCTTTATTAGACTTACCCACATGCATAAGAAACTTTGCTTTTCCGGTTAAAACTTCGCTTCCAACCCCACAAGATCCTAAAGAGTTAGAAGTTGAAGACCCTCCAATTTCAGAATGTTTATGCTTCAATACAATTGGAGGCCTCTCTTCAGAAGTGTAACTCGTGACATACTCATCATAAAATATAATATAAAATCTTCTTGATCTCACCCGCATAAATTGAAGCTTCATCATCACCATAAATTATTGAAAAAGCAAAATCAATAAGCTCCATTTTATATCTTGGATCTAAAATAGCACCCAAAGATATCAACACATTACTGTCTCCTCAGTACTTGTCAAATTTTTCTTCCATTCTTAATGTCATAGACCTCATATGAGAAGAATTATGTGTGCATTTCTCATTAAGAAGCTCTTTAATCCGATACAACTCAGGGAGGAAAATATTAGCCATTAGATATTCAGATCTAGAAATAATATTTGTAATCTCATGAAAAACTCCTAAAAACTGGCAAACATCTTCCACTTGGCTCCACTCAAATTCAGTCGGCACATAACGAAATCCAACATCAATATCAGCATATCTACAAAACACATCTTTAAACTGTAAAGTTGAAGCTAACATCATATAAGTGCCATTACATCGTGTTGGACAATCAAGAGATAACTTCTTCGGAGACAAAGAGAGTTGTTTTTTTATCTTGCTAAAGTCAGTGAGACGCGCTTCAGAATACATAAATACTTTATTCCATCCCGAACACAATCAACCACAGATCCAATCTCATTAAAACCATCTTGCACCAACAAATTCAGGATGTGTGCACAACAACGAACGTGTGAAATATCTTTCCCCCAATACTTAATTGTTTTCTTAACAACAAATCATCTTTCAATCTCTTCACACATACATCATTGTAAGAAGCATTATCAACGGTAATACTAGACCCTTTATTTTCAATTTCCCAAACAATAAAGCATCTACTAAGTGCATCAGCAATAATAACACCAGTATGCGGAGGTGGAACATTACAAAAAAAAATTCAGCACTCTCTGTAATGCCCCGATTTTGGAGTGTATAAAATAATATTATTATAGCAAATAAATATTTTTATAATATTTTGGGATCAAGAAATTAATATTTTGGAATAAATCTTATTCCTATTTTATATATTGATTATGATTAAAAAGACTGTTAAACGGATAAATATCGATAAGAATAAATATAAATTATAATATATATAATAATATAATAATACTAAGTGATGATAATGATGATACGAATGGACGATGATAATAATATTAATAATAACTTTTATTATTAATAATAATATAATATAATATAATATAATATAAATCAATCTTACCTGCGAATGAAGGAAGTAGAAGAAACGCAGGGAAAGAAGAAGAAAAAAAAAAAAAAAAGGAAGAAAGAAAAAGATTTAGCCGTTCGATTTCGATTCCGACTTCGGTATTGTATTCCTTGTTATACGTAGAATTTAATTATGGATTTTAATATGAATTTAGATATTGAGGATATTAAATTAGAAATTCTTCAAAAATTCATAACCGGCTATTTTACTATTTAATCGACTAAGTTCTTTAGCTAATAGCCTATTCGTAGTCCTAGCATTATATTCTGTGAATTTTGTATCGATCCGAGTCGAATTGAAAACGGCAGTGTATTGCACCGGCAGTGTATTGCACCGGTCTATTTATTCATATCTTTAAGTATTTTTATTTAATAATCGGGCAATATAAATATTATGAGGTATAAGAGTTTTATAGCTAGAATATCATAGTCTACTAAATATAAAAGTTTGAAACCCAACGAGCTAATTATAGAAATTAGCTTTTGAATAAGCAGGTAGCTCCTATAAGTAAGCATATAGCTCAACTGATTTGAGTAAATAATGTGACAGGTGTACGTTGGAGGAGATTCGGGTAAGATTGCAAAAGCTAAGGAGTGTTGATAAGAGGTAAGCAGTAGGGAATTAAATCTAATTTTAAGAAAATTAGGTATGCATGTTGCATGCGATTCTGATTAATATGCTAATGTGATATTATGTGAATCATTTTGTCAGTGCATGTATATATTTATATATATATGTGTGCATATGCATGTGAGAGACTTCACAGTTTATGGTATTTGATATATGTATTTGATCGCGTTGGTGAATTTATGAAAAGAATGATAGGTGAGCTGTCTTACTAGCCCTTTTCGGTAAATTCACTTATTTGGTATATTGTACACATATTGCACGATTTATCGGATATGTTTTATGGATCTATCGTCTAGTCGTTGTGTGTGGTAGTGCTAGGCGAGGGCATCATCTGGGGTTAGGATATTCGACCCCGATGTACCGTAACACTTTGGCGATAATGGACGATAGTAGTCGGACAACTGGGTGACTTAGTCGCACTGTTATTCAGGGATTAGACCCATTGTAGTTGAGACGTATTCAGTCTAATTATTCGTGTTCGGTGTTGTTCCACTCATTGGAGTAGCTACTAGTGAGTTCTACCGGTAGTTTAGGATCGTATGCCAAACTCCAAACGTGATCCCGTTACGGCGCGCAAGGAGGAGTAGAGTTTCCGGGTTTCCCTTGGGTGATTCCAGGTTGCACGGATTCTACTACATTACACGGGATAGGGCTAGTCCCGGGGTCCTATCTTCGCTATCACAGACTATGGGGCGTCTTGTGGTTAATGGCGACAACGTTCGGCTATCCATGTATTGATTGTAGGAGTTGTATGATGGGTATATGGGAGTGACCGGATGAACGTTATATTATTATGGGTTTATCAGGTCCTTCCTTGAGCCGAGGGTTTTCCGGCTATTTATTAATGATGGTCTAGTGAGCTTGTTATTGCGGGGCCGAGGGTATTCCGGCTGCTCACTTAGACAAATGTAGTGAGCCTATTATTATGGAGCCAAGGTTATTCCGGCTGCTCACTTCGGCGGATGTATATATGTGCATGTGCATTGTTGTCGAGTTTGATATCTTTGTTGCATCATTTCACTATTGGCATGACATGACACGTATGTTAGGATTGACGGGAATTAGACTTTATTTTAAAAAGGTATGATATGGCATATTTCATGTTAGTTCTTAAAATGGATTTAATTCTAGACTGCTTTTAAGAAAATATGTGTTTCAGGTATGCATGGCATATCCGAGACAGAGGACGTCTCAGGATATAGAAAGACGGGCTGAGTGAGTGAACTTACGTCTATTGTATTATATGTAAATTTTTAACCGGAAAAACCTCTTGTTAAGGGGTGTGTTTTGTAAATATTTATAAATCAGATTCTGTTATATAATAATGCGCTTTTATGGTTAATTTTAGCCTTAACACTGTATTGTGGGGCCCGAAGTAGGAGATGACGACCTCATGATGCAGTGTGGCGGTAGCATGTCCAGTATGAGCCAACTGGGGGTGTTACACTCTCTTTTGTAATACCCAATTGTCATCTACAAAGTGTCCAGTCACCACCATATATTGAACCTTATGGTTCGACTTCCACAAGTCAGTTGTAAGACTAATTCTTTTAACACCCTTTAACATTGATTTCAATTTTTTTTTTCAAATTCAAAAGTAGTCATGCAATCCTTCTTCACAATATGTCTACTAATCTTTTGATAAAATAGAGAAATAACTTTAAAAAACTTGTTGAAAATAGCATGCTCCATCATTAGAAAAGGATATTTATAAGCTAAAATCATATGGGATGCAAGTTCCCGTACCTTAGCATGATCGTACCGATAATTCGCAATCGAAGTTATCCCTTCCGAATGAGATTCGGTAGTGAAAGAAAGAACTTGTTGTTCCGAAGGCAATGATGTCTTAATACAACTATCCAGATGATAGTTAGAAATCGCATGCATTTTATATTCATATCATATGCGATATTTGAGTGATTTTGATTGGATTGTACCTAATTTATATGCGAATTGTTTATTTGCTGTGTGCAGAGGGCAAATATCAAATTTGGCATAATAAGCAGAAAAAATGGAAGAAAAATTCAGATTTGCACAACCTAGTTAGTCATGACCATGACTAACTACACCCTCTTGAAATGAGAAATTAATTAAACGCCCAAAAGCCCATCTACAAAATAATTAGGGCAAAAATTAAATAAAAGAGGAGGGATCACACGTTTCGAAAGAAGAGAGGACGGCTAGGGCAGAAACGCATAGGAGCAGACAGATTCATAGATCGCGCAGGAGTAAATCGACAGAGAACATTTCCCCCTCCCACTATGACTTCATCTTTCTCTTTTGTTCTTTATTATTTGATTATGGAGTAGACACTTTTCTGGTTTGAGGGGTGATAATGTTTTGGTTCTTTTGTTTTGAAGATTCTTGATTTTCTTTATAAAAGTTCTTTTTGATTATCAATATTTGTCTAATTCTGAGAATAGCGTTTGTGATTGTTAGATTGATTGAATATTTTGGTACCAATATTTAAATTAGTCTGGTAATCTAAAGTCAATTCAGGTAGGATATCCGTAATTGTATTCGCACTCGAATAGGTGACAACCGGGTTGAAGAGTTCCTTCCCGGGGATTAGATAATCAAATCTAATTGCTCCTCTTAGGTAGCAATTGTTTTGAATTGGGTTTTTCTATATTGGAATGCGGTTAGGCAATATTCTTATGGGCACCTAGGTTTATTTGCTTAATTAGGGGTAGTTAACGGTCGTACCTTAATTACTTACACTGTAAGGAAAAATTGGTTGTCAGAGCTTGTTGATAACTATAATCAATTTATTGATACTTTAATAAGAATTAACTTTATTGAATTTATGATAAAACACAAGTGCCATAACTGCATCATCCGTTGAGCCAGACATCCCCTTGATAGTCAGTTCCCTCATTAATTTAATTGCTTTGTTATTTTATTTTCATTAGATAATAAAAAAAATTCCCCCTTTATTTACTGCACTAGAACACGAAAGAGTGAATCACACAATCTCTGTGGAGACGATCCCTTCCCCTATATTACATTAAATTGTGATCACGGATTAGGTGAAATATTTGATTGACCGCGCGACAGGTCAATTTTTGGCGCCGTTGCCAGGAATTGGCGCTTTGTTTTGCTCTTTTGTGTTATTTTAATTTATCTTCCTGTTTATGCCCCGTTCTTCTCGTACAGGTGAACTGATATTTAATCTTGAGATCGAGAAGGTTGAGCGAAAGCTACGAAAGGAAGCCAAGCAACGAAAACCTACTCAGGTTGCGAAGCTGGCAGAATCTTTAAACCACCTCAGAATCTCTAGCTCCAGCGACTCTAAAAGTGATCAAAAGACTGTCATGGCTGAGGATACCCGCACTTTAAGGGAGTTGGCTGCTCCCAACTTGGCGCAGCAGCCCTTATGCATTAACTTTCCCACTCTAAATAACACTATTACTTTTGAACTGAAATCTGGATTAATTCATTTATTGCCTTCTTTTCATGGACTTGCAGGTGAAGAAACTCACAAACACTTGCAAGAGTTCGACGTGGTGTGTTCCAGCATGAAACCACCAGGTGTTACTGACAAACAGATCAAACTTAGAGCCTTCCCATTCTCACTCAAAGATGCTGCAAAGGATTGGCTCTACTATCTCCCACCTGGAAGTATCGACACGTGGAACGACATGAAAAAGAAATTTTTGGAGAAGTACTTTCCAGCTTCCAGAGCTGCGATCCTGAGGAAGGAGATATGTGGCATTAAGCAACAATCAGGTGAAACGCTTCATGAATATTGGGAGCGATTCAATAAGCTTATCATCAAATGTCCACAACATCAAATTCCCTCTCAATTATTGATTCAATACTTTTATGATGGTTTGTCGTTGATGGACAGGAACATTATCGATGCTGCAAGCGGTGGAGCTTTAGTAAATAAGACGCCGGCACAAGCTTGGGATCTTATTGCGAGGATGGCTGAAAACACGCAGCAATTTGGTTCAAGAGATGTTGGACATATGAGCGGAAACAAAAACGACCATACCATCCAATCGATACAACAACAACTTTATGAGTTGACGAGCTTTGTTCGCAAGATGGTCGTGGAAAAATCCAACCCGAGTGTCCAGGTCAAGGCGTGTGGAATATGCACAAGTGCATGACACTCTACAGATGCATGTCCGACCCTCCAAGAAGAATGTGCAGTGGATGTGAACACTGCAAACTACGGTATGTAGACCTCCAGCGTATAATCCATACTCCAACACCTACAATCCAGGCTGGAGAGATCATCCGAACCTGCGTTATGGAAACGCATAGCGGGGTAATGCTCATCAACCATTCGGAGCTATGCAACAGATGCAACAACCTCGTTTCTATGTGAAACAGCCACCCCAAGCACGCACAAGCAACTTCAGTCCATCTTTGGAAGACTTGGTGAAGTCTATGGCTACCAGTGCCCTGCAATTCCAGCAAGAGATGAAGTCAACTGTCGACAAATGACAAGGTCTGATCAATCAAGTGTCGGAGGAGGTGAAACAGCTACGTGAAAGAGGAAAGTGGCCTGCTCAGTCTGAGCCAAATCCAGCAAATGTCAGCGCCATCACTATCTGCAGTGATACGAAGATTGAATGTTCTTCCCGGCCTAATCCAAAGAATACGAGTGCTATAACTCTTCGTAGCGGAAAGGAATTGGAAGGTCCACCTCCTATCTCAAAGGAACAAAATAAAGATCAGATTGAGATGGAGATCGAAAAAGAAGTTGAACTTCACGAAAAGGTACTTCCTAACTCTGTTCCTCCTACTGAAACTTAATCAGCTCCTTTTCCTGACAGGTTGAAGAAACCACAAAAGGCAAACAAACGAAAAGAGATGATGGAAATATTCAAGAAGTTGGAACTTAATATCCCGCTCCTGGAAGCTATCACCCAAATCCCCAAGTACGCAAAGTTTTTGAAAGAACTGTGCACCAACAAAAAGAAATTGCGAGAAGACGAGCATATTATAGCGGGTGAGAACGTTTCTGCTGTTATCAAAAGAAAGGTACCACCTAAAACAGGTGATCCAGGTATATTTTCTATCCCTTGTAAGATTGGAAAAACTGAGATAACTAAGGCTATGCTAGATCTAGGAGCTGCTATTAATGTCATGCCTCGATCAATATACGACTCTTTAAATCTAGGGTCTCTAAAAAAAACAGGAATTATTATTCAACTTGCTGATCGAACCCATGCTTATCCCGATGGTATGATAGAAGATGTATTAGTTCAAGTGAATGAATTAATTTTTCCTGTTGATTTTTATATTCTTGATATGCACGATGCAAATTGTTTTAATCCACCGCCTCTTTTGTTAGGAAGACCTTTTATGTGCACTGCAGGAACAAAGATAGATGTTAAAAAGGGCACACTCAGCTTGGAGTTTGATGGAGAAGAATTTCATTTCAATATTTTTAATCCCGTCAAATGTCCTGTTGAATCTGAATCGTTATATGCAATTAATGTTATTAATTTTATGGTGCAGGAAACTTGTGAAGTTGGTAATGAGAATAAACGAAGAACTGTGTTGACAAAACAGTTAGAGAAAAGACCAACTGGAGAAAGTAAGAAAAGAAAAAAGATTGTCGAAAAGTGGAGATGGATTCCCAAGGGATCACCATTGCTGGCAGCAAAAAAATGTCATAAGGAGAATCAAAATTCTAAGCCGAAGAAAAAGTGTGTGGCAAATAGACATCGCTTCAAATTATACCACGAGGAACCCTCACTTGATCCTATAAAGTTGGCACCCGTTGCCGATTTCAATGTTCAGAATTGATGCGAAGCGAAGTCTAGCTCAAAGACTATAAAGAAAAGCGCTTTTTGGGAGACAACGCAAACCATTTAAATGCTTTCTTTAATTCTAATTATTTTTTATTATTTAATTTCTAATAATACTTTTGATAATTTTGTTTGATTTTGTGCAGGTCTTTTGAAAAATAATTACTGGCTTTTTGCAAAGGCGTGGCAGCATAAAAAAAAAAAAAAAAATTCAGATCAAGAAGTGGCTTTTAGTCATGGTCATGACTAATTGATACCTCACATTCTGCTTTTTTTTTTTTCCAATATTTCTATACCTCTCCAATTTCCAGAATGATAAGTAGTATTTAGTCATGAGCATGACTAATACTGCTCTATCACACTGCCTGCATCCCTCATTCTACCAAATTTTAACCCTAAAATCCCCAAAATAAAATAAATAAATAAAACAAATAAAAAAATCCCTAATCCCTTTCCGCTGAGCCCTCCGCCTCCGCCGTTCTTCTTTCCTGATTTCCTTCCGCCGCCGAGACGCCGCCTCTGCCAGAAGACGACCTCCAGTAACGCCGCCTGTATCGAACCAGTCCTTCCGACGCCCAGCGCCCCCTGCGACTCCACGCCGCCGCAGATTCCACATTTCCTTCCGCCGCCGAACAGCCCTGGGCCGCCTCCAGCCAACGCCCATCTTCATTCTTTGATTGGGTATTATCTATTCATCCCTACCAATACTTTCAATTTTTCAATAATATGTTGAGATATGGGATTGATGTTTTAGAATTTCCACTTTATGGACTCCTGTTACTAGGAAATTGCTGTGAACTTGGTGTCGCATAGTAATGTTCGTAATGTTACGCTTGATTTGTTTTGACGTAGTTCTATTCTTGGCTATTCTGTCTTGGATTAGTTACAGTGGTGTTCTGAATTGCATTGCCTAACATTGTGACTGACTATTGGTTGTTGGTTGTTATATAGGACTGTTTTGAATATAATGATTTGGTTTGACATGTTTGAATTGAAGATCGCACTCTCTTTGCATAATCTTGTTCGTTGTTGTGGCTGATTTTTTGGTGCAATTGGGTTTAGTCACTTGAGTGAATTACTTTGTTTGAATACATTGTTGCGTTTGGCTAATCGTTTGCAAGGATAAAATTCAAGCCTCCCTAAAAATCACGATCAAATGAAGAGGTGTTAACAAAGCTCCCAACTACTACACCCCCTATGGACTCCAGGGAAGTTCCTCTCTTCTTTCATTGCTTTCTTTAAATTGAGGACAATGCATACTTTAGGTGTGAGGAGAGTTATACAAATTTTTGGGCAAAATTTTCATTTTGTGCAATTTTTATGCCTGATTTGCTGTCTTTTCGCATGTTTTTTAGATTAGTCTGAAGTGGGTCAAAGGTGATTTGTGTGATAGGTTAGTTTGGCATGACTAATGACATTTGATTGGTGATATGTTGAGTCAAGTCGACGTTTGAACCCTGTGAGAATTTGAGCCTATATTCCAAAAGTCACATTAGAAAATAAATTGCATATATTCAGGCTTTTGGAAATTTCTTTCATGTGTGATTTGTAGTGCTCAATTAGATGACCTAGAACTTGAGTAATTATGCATGTTGAACTTGCAACTATCGAGTCCTGCGTTTTGAAAATGATAAGGGCATTAGGTAACCCACTAAGCCCTTTTTTATTACCCAGCACAATATATTCCCCTAGTTAGCCCATTTGAGTCTTCTTAGCCTATTTTTTTCTTTTATAATAACCTGTTTTTTAGTCTCATACCCTTCTTTTGATTAAGCCCTCTCCAATTTGAACCCTATGTTAGAAAGAATTACTTTAAGTTCATGTTGTGATGCACTTTATTTTCTCGGCACTAGTGAGAAATGAAATTTGGGTACGAATAAGTCATAGTATGAAGGAATAACTGTGGGTAGTGTATGTATATATATATATATAGGCAAAAGCCAAAAAAAAAATCAAAAATAAAAAATCAAGAAATCAAAAAAAAAAACAAGAAATAAAAAAAAACGAAAAAAAAAAACAAAAAAAGAAGCAAAAAAAATAATACAAAAATAAATAAATAAATAATTATCTTAATAAAGTATTTTCATTTAATTTCATTATCAAAGTTTGGGTAGGGAATAGAGTAAGGATTTGATTGTTTATGCGGATTCATGTGCTAGCATCGTGTTCTTATTGTGTTCTTTTCTGACATATTTTAGCCTTTGTATATCCTTTTTCCTACCCTGACCATAAGCCCCGTTACAACCCTTATTGAAAGTCCCTTTGATTCTTTATGCTAGATTCGAATATTTTAAGCAAGGGAGATTTGATTTTTACTCAAGCCTACAGGATAATATTTTGTTGCACTACCTGAGTGTTGAACCAATTATACACTTAATTTCTTCAGAGAGCATGTGCGAATACACTTTATCTTGTGAGGTTGACTTGGCTTGATGTGTTAAAATTCGGATTGAAGTGGTTGTGTTGGATCCTCTTGTCATATCGAGTTGCCTGCGATTTCTTTGGCTTATTTCGAATTTATGCTTGAGGGCAAGCATGATCTAGGTGTGGGGAGAATTGATAGTTAGAAATCGCACGCATTTTATATTCATATCATATGCGATATTTGAGTGATTTTGATTGGATTATACCTAATTTATATGCGAATTGTTTATTTGTTGTGTGCAGAGGGCAAATATCAAATTTGGCATAATTGGCAGAAAAATGGAAGAAAAATTCATATTTGCACAACCTAGTTAGTCATGACCATTACTAACTACACCCTCTTGATATGAGAAATTAATTAAAGGCCCAAAAGCCCATCTACAAAATAATTAGGGCAAAACTTAAATAAAAGATGAGGGATCACACGTTTCGAAAGAAGAGAGGACGGCTAGGGCAGAAACGCATAGGAGCAGACAGATTCATAGATCGCGCAGGAGCAAATCGACAGAGAAGATTTCCCCCTCCCACTATGACTTCATCTTTCTCTTTTGTTCTTTATTATTTGATTATGGAGTAGACACTTTTCTGGTTTGAGGGGTGATAATGTTTTGGTTCTTTTGTTTTGGAGATTCTTGATTTTCTTTATAAAAGTTCTTTTTGATTATCAATATTTGTCTAATTCTGAGAATAGCTTTTGTGATTGTTAGATTGATTGAATATTTTGGTACCGATATTGAAATTAGTCTGATAATCTAAAGTCAATTCAGGTAGGATATCCGTAATTGTATTCGCACTTGAATAGGTGACAACCGGGTTGAATAGTTCCTTCCCGGGGGTTAGATAATCAAATCTAATTGCTCCTCTTAGGTAATAATTGTTTTGAATTGGGTTTTTCTAGATTGGAATGCGGTTAGGCAATATTCTTATGGGCGCACCTAGGTTTATTTGCTTAATTAGGGGTAGTTCACGGTCGTACCTTAATTACTTACACTGTAAGGAAAAATTGGTTGTCAGAGCTTGTTGATAACTATAACCAATTTATTGATACTTTAATAAGAATTAACTTTATTGAATTTATGATAAAACACAAGTGACATAACTGCATCATCCGTTGAGCCAGACATCCCCTTGATAGTCAGTTCCCTCATTAATTTAATTGCTTTGTTATTTTATTTTCATTAGATAATAAAAGAAAATTCCCCCTTTATTTACTGCACTAGAACACGAAAGAATGAATCACACAATCCATGTGGAGACGATCCCTTCCCCTATATGACATTAAATTTTGATAACGGATTAGGTGAAATATTTGATTGACCGCGCGACAGGTTACCAGATGACGCTTGTAAGTAGTTGTCATTCCTCCCGGATTTCTTGAGAAAATCCTTTTACAATGACTGCATTGCACTTTTACTAACCCATCAGGTTGAGATATTTCTTTCATATGTTGCCACACAAACGATTTCTTAGCTCGACCTTTTTTTTTTATAATCCTCCCTATTTTCTTCCATGTTTTTTTCTTTATCCTTTTGATGGCTATCAGCAAGAATCTCCAAGTCGACGTCCTCGTGCATTTCATCATCTTCACCTTCATCAGTGGGAACTTGTTCAACAAGATGATCAACATAATCCATGGCAGGAACAGTAGAAGAACCTTGTTGGGATTGACTTTGAGACATAGCTACAATTACAAATATGAAAAATATTAGAAACTCTTATCGAAATTTAAAATTATGATGAACAAATTGAATGTTATTGAAATAGATATAGTAATTTGCATATATAGTCATGATAATCAAATTGAATATTTATTTAAATATTTATATATTTATTTGTGAACTGTAAATCTGTAATATATATTTATAAAGAAAAACAGAGGTCCGACGGTTGAGGTGAAATTCAATGTATATATATGTTCGTATATATTCATAATTTCAAAAGAAAGCGGTAGAGCTCCTAAATCGATAAATAAATGTATGTGAAAATAAATATAAATTTACCTGTTGCAGCTTGGATTGGGAGGAGGCGAGGATGTGGGCTGCGGACGGCGGGTTGTGGACGGTCGGAAGGTGGAAGAAGAGGCGGGCGAAGTAGGCGTTGCTGTCGCGCAGACTGGAGTATTGGCGGGAGCTGGTGGCAGGACTGTGGGCTCGCAAAGGCGGCGACTATTGACGGCGGAAAATGGTGGAGGAAGACAGTGGCTTCTCGCTGTGAAGGAAGACAGCTGTGAGAGGAAGAAGACGGCGGCGACGATATGATAAGTAAACAATGGAGCGACTACTACTAGCGAGTAGCGAGTGAAGGTAAGAAAGAAAGGAAAGAACAGAAAGGAGCGGCGGAGTGAAAGGAGCGGTGGGGTAAAGGTGAGAAAGAAAAGAATGAACAGAAAGGAGCGGCAGGTGGAAGGGAAGTAGAAATTAGGGTTTGAGAAATGACAATTGACAAGTATATTATTTTATTTTTAATATTTATATATATATAATATTTTATGTATTAATTTAAAGAAAGAAAGTAAAGAACAGAGGAGGGTGTTTATTTAATATTATTTTTTAATTAAAATTAAAATTTGAAATT